TGCTAGAAGTCGAAAACAACTTGATGGCACATAGTCAGTCAATCAATGAGCAAATAGTAGCAGGTAAAGATTTTCTACCACTTTGTGAAGATCTATTTGAAAGAATTTTAGAAATGCTTAACTTCATTGTGTACATTTTCTGCAGAGTTTTTTTGCTAAATGTACATAATTCCTTGTTCTGAAGGGTCACAGAGGGTTTTGAATTAAATAGATGGGTACACCCTTTAAAGGGCTCATGATAGAAGAACAGAGAAATTAGGTTAGGAAAGTAGGAGCTGACGGTTTTTTAAAATATGCATTTTATACTATATGATTAAAATGCACCCCAAAATGTAAACTTGTATTGTTAGCAAGATGAGGACTTCACCATATTTATGTATGGTATTTGTATCTATGTATATATTTATTAATTACAGATATACCTAGGATTTTTTTTAAGTCCATGTCTATCTCATCTTAGATTCTAAGAGGCTTTCTCTAATAACTCTTCAGAACCTAAAAGCAAAATGTGTAATGAGAAAGTTAATAGTGGCTGCTATTAAGCCATTGAATCTAATGAATTATATAAAATAATTCAACAAAGACAGATAGTTTCCATCTGTAGCGCATTGCATGTCAACCTGATCTTGTGGAGAGCTGATGGCTACTCAAAAGGATCTTCTATATCTTATGATACTGTTTTGAAAAGTATGTGGATTCTAAAGTACAGAAATGGCAACCATTTCCATTTAAATAGAACCCAGTTACAGTGGTCAAGTTCTTTGGGACAAAAAAATTCAGGGGTATGCTGTACTTTTCATTGCAAAAAATGTTCTGAAGTATCACTACAAGAAAGTCCTTCCAGGACAAAGCTGAAGAATGTGGAACTCACAGAGTAATGTTGAACACAAATCCCACATTAATTCCAGATTAATTAATTAATTAATTAGAGCCAGTTTGGTCTAGTGGTTAAGGTACCAGGCCAGAAAGGAGGAGACGGTGAGTTCTAGTCCTACCTTAGGCATGAAAGTCGGCTGGGTGACTTTGGGCCAGTCCCTCTCTCTCAGCCCAACCCACCTCTCAGGGTTGTTGTCATGTAGAAAAAAGGAAGAGGAAGGAATATTATGTATGTTCACTGCCTTGAGTTATTTATAAAAAAATAATAAAGGCGGGATAAAAATCTAACAAATAAATAAATAAAATTCCAGTCAAAATGGCCAACAGCTACAGAAGAGGGGAATTGTAGACCATTTCAGGGGAGAGCCACCCATTTCTACGTTTTCTAAGACACTGTGACCTACATAGCAATAAGCAATAAGTATAGTTTTCAGCAATTTACGGGGGGGGGGGTTTGTTTGTTTGTTTTTTTTGCCCAAGAATAAAAAGAAAATCTGCAATGTAAAACGATTTCA